CTCTAATTTATTAATTTTGTGAATGTTTATTTTTAAAGAACTTATGATTCAGATTTTTTATTTGGCTTCTGCTAAATAGTTGCTTTTAGCTCTTAATGTCTTTACCCAACTCTCCATTTTTAAATATATCTGAACCAATAACTTAAACAATTTTAATTTGTATTGTCTGTGCTTTTGCAATGTGGTAAACAATGAATAGAATTTAAAAACTGAATGCAGCAGTTTCTTCAGTACCTGTGTCTGGACTGACCTTTGGTGTGTGGCCATCTGTCTTAGAGAACCAGAACTTGACTTCATACATGTTTTCAGGAGATTTGGCTGTAGAAACATGATTCTGCATGTTTGTGGGCAGAGAAAATGCATTGAATTGACACTGTTTCTATCCTGGGCAGTCCTCATTTATAGCAGCATGTCACTATTTGAAAAAAAAATTCAGAATGCCTTCACGTATTTATTCTTATTCTATCTTTGTAATACTGCATGGATTAATTATAACCATATTTTAGTTTCACATGTACAAACAACTTTACATCTCTGAGGCTTCAGAGCCTGAATATCAGACTTGTATGTCGTTATTGTAAAACAGTATGAGTGTAGGTAGTATTTTCACAAGGAAGAAACTCAAGCTTTTCTAGTGAGAGGAAGTCTAGGTCATGTTGGGCATGTTCATCCTTAATACTGAAGCAGGATCCACTTATGAGCTCTTTTCCCATTCCAGGAGAAGGTGGACAGGAAAGCTTCCAGCAATCCTGACCTTCATCTCAACAGGGCAACGGTAAGACCCATAAGGTGCAGTCCTCTGAAGCTCAAATAAAAAACACATTTAGGTCTTAGCCTGTGTGGATAACTGAGTGTACAGAGGGCAAAGTTGGGTACAAACTGGGAGGAAAGTCAAATTATTCTAAGAAAAGATGGTTCAATTAGACTTCATTTTCTGGCAGAGTCACTAGAGGGGAAGGACAAGTGGGTGAGGTGAGAAGGGCGAGATGGTTTAGGAGTCTTCTGGAACATTAAGTACAAATATAAAAACAGAATGACCTGATATCGGCAACTTGACTATTGTAGAGTTTGGAAATTAGCTTCCATCTCATCATCATCTTGGCCAGGAAAAGGAACATTTGTGATGGGAGAGGAAAGTAACTGGGAAGGAAAAGAATCTGTTTCTCTGGGTTCTTATCCCGCTGTGTCGTTATCCCCTCTGCATAGTTTGTTGGTATCTACTTACAATTGGGAGGTCTTGGATTACTTTTTGCACAGCTGCATAAATATGAAGAGAGCTATGGGGAGGCCCTAGAGGGCTTCTCTCAGGCGGCAGCACTGGACCCTGCCTGGCTGGAGCCCCAGCAACGAGAACAACAGCTCTTGGAATTCCTCAGTAAATTAACCAGCCTCCTGGAGAGCAAGGTAAAGATGTGTCAGCGGAGAAACCTACTCTTTAATTCTGTTGTTGGTCAATAAAATAAGAAAAGAATAAGCACAGACAGGGGTAACCCCACAGAAATGGGTGGGTGGGAGGGAAGGACTAGACTCTCAAGGGAGATAGTACAGTGTCCAGCTTCTTAACCTGTTTACCCTTCCTTTGCAGGGGAAGATGAAGGCCAAAAAACTGCAGAGCATGTTAGGAAGCTTGCGTCCAGCCCATCTCGGCCCTTATGGTGATGGGCACTATCAGTCAGCCTCAGGGCAGAAGGTAACCCTGCAGCTCAAGCCCCTGAGCACGTTGCAGCCTGGTGTGAACAGTGGTGCTGTGGTCCTGGGAAAGGTGGTGTTTAGCCTAACTACAGAGGAGAAAGTCCCCTTGTGAGTTTCCTTCGGCTTTTTTCTTTTTCTTCCGGATGAATTGCCCACTTCCTGGCCCTCTTCTGGCAGTTGAAGGCATTGTTAGCTGTCTCAGATGGGTGACTTCTTCCCATCTGTGTGCAAGTGTTGTCTCTGGGTGATACCTAACAAGTCTCTCGACAGCTTTTGTAGATTCAATCATTGCCTGCTTTTTTCCCGAGGCCAATGCTCTGTGGATTCGTACATTTATAGCCCAAATTTAACAGACATGTTTTGTTAGAAGGTACAGAAACCTTAAAATTCTCCTGCCCCTTTGACTGTATTTTTTTATTGGTACATTTTAGATATACGAAATACCATTTATCACAGGCAATCTGTACCTGTACATGATGTGTCTTAACTCTTCTTTTCCCATTTCCCTCCCTTCTTTCTGCCCACTTCCCCTCCTTATCTACAAAAGCTTTGATTCCATTATTTTGCTTCTTTTTTTTTCTTGGCCCCCCTCCCCATGCCTCTTCTCATTTGAACATTTTCTCCTCATTTCCCAATATCTGTTATATATTTTAGTCCTTATTTACACTTTCACTTTTCTCACACCAGAGAAACAATATGGTATTTAAATCTGTGTGTCACATTTGTTTGACTGAAGAGTGTGGTCTCAAGGTGCATCCATTTAACTAGAAAGTTTGTCCTTCTTTATGGCTGAGTAGTACTCCATTGTATAAAAAAGCTATATCTTCTTTATCCATTCATCCATTGATGGGCATTTGGGCTGTTTCCAAGATTTAGCTATTACAAATTGTACTTTTATAAACATGGGTGTCGTTATGATATGATGCCTTTAATTCTTTTGGGAAGATAACAAGAAGGGAAATAGCTAGGTCAAATGGAAGCTCTAGTTTTAGTTTTTTGAGGAATTTCCACACTGATTGCCACAGTGGTTGTACAAGGCTGCATTCCCACCAAGAGTAGAGAAGGGTTCCTTTTCTCCCGTAGCTCCTCTAGCATTTTTTTTTGGTTGATTTCTTGATAATACCCATTCTTTTGGCAGTTAGATGAATTCTCATTCAGCATTGTTTTAACTTGCCCCATAAATTCAGTTCCTTTGTGTTTATTTAAGCAAGTAAATGCAATGTTCTGTGAACTAGTATGTGGTTTATTTTGGAGAATGTTGCATGTGCAGCTGAGAAGAATGTGTATTCTGCTGTTGGGTGGAACACTTTGTAGACTTTAAGTATATTCAAAAGTTTGGTTCAGTTTTGATACTTGTTTGTTGATTTTTTTGTCTAGTTGATCTGTTTGTGACAGTGGTATATATTGAGGTTCCCTGTTAGAATTGTATCAGTGCCTATTTGATTTTTAATGTCTAAAAATATTTGTTTCATATAATTCAGTGTGCTAGTACTTGGTGCATATATGATTGTTCTTTTTGCTTGTTTTATTCCCTTTAAAAGGATGTAATTGTCTCTGTTAGTCAGTCTTTGCCTGAAATCTACTTTGTCTGCAAATAGAATAGCTACCCCTGCTTTTTTCCAGGTTCTTTTGCATAGAGTATTTTTTTCCATCTTTTGACTTTTAGTGTATGAGGGGTTCATGGAGTTGTAGTCCTCATCTCTAGAATGTCTTTCAGAACATTTTGGAGGGCTGGTTTGATGGTCATGAATTTCCTTAGGTGTTCTTTGTCACAGAAGTAACTTATTTCTCCATCCTTTTTTTTTTATTTTAAAAAATAAAAGAAGGAAAACATATTAACAGACAGACATCCATTTATAAAATAGCATAAGAACAATACAAACAAAACAGTTACAGACAAACAAAGTGGTTTCTTAGGAAAACAGAGACACAGACTGATCAAACAAGTAATCATTAACTGTTCCTTTCTGTAGAGCAATAGAAGACAGTAGTGTAACTATGTTAGCAATCCTGTATATACATACTTACATAATTTCCCCTTCTTTTGCTTCTCTTTTCCCACACCGCAGTTGCCCTTTACTTTTGGGCATTATCCTTTCATTACACGATGTCTGTCACACCTCCTAGTTTTTATTCACTCTTTCAGATCTTACACTAGTGAGACAATATGCTTCTTACACATGCAGGTCTGATTTATTTCACTTTTTTGAAATCCTCTTCAATCTCTTTTTTCAGAATACTGTAGTTTCCATTGAATAGATCTTTTACTTCTTTTGTTAGATTGATTCCTAAATATTTCAGTTTCTTGGATGCTGTTGTGAAAGGTATGGTTTCCTTAATTTCTCTCTCAGTCTGTTGTTTGTGTATAGGAGTGCTATTGATTTTTGGGTGTTGACTTTGTATCCAGCTGCACTGCTGAATTTTTTGATTAATTTAAGCAGTCTTCTTGTGGAGTTTTTGGGGTCTTCCATGTAAAATATCATGTCATCTGCAAATAGTGATAGTTTTACTTCTTCCTTTCCTATACTTACTCCTTTTATTTTTCTCTCTTGTCTAATTGCTCTGGCAAATGCTTCCAGAACTGTATTGAACAGGAGTGGTGATAGCGGACATCCTTGTCTTGTTCCTGATTTTAAAGTAAAAGCTTTCAATTTTTATCCATTTAAAATGATGTTGGCTGTTGGTTTGTTTGATCAGGTTAAAGTAAAGACCATCTATTCCTATTTTCTGTAGAGTTTTTATCATGAATGCATGTTGGACTTTGTTGAAAGCTTTTTCTGCATTTATTGAGATAATCATGTGGTTTTTGTCTTTAGCTCTATTGATACAGGCTATAACATTAATTGATTTGTGAATATTGAACCATCCCTGCATTCCTGGAATGAATCTGACTTGGTCGTGGTATATGATTTTCTTGATAATTTGCTGCATTCTATTTGCTAGTATTTTATTGAGTATCTTTGTATCTATATTCATTAGGAAGATTGGTGTGTAGTTCTCTGTCTTGGTTGGGTCTTTCCCTGGTTTTGGTATCAGTATCATACTTGCCTCCAGAAATGAGTTAGGGAGAATTGCTTCCTTTTCAATCCCATTGAAGAGTTTCATTAGTGTTGGTATTAAATCTTCTCTGAATTTCTTGTAAAATTCTGCTGTGAATCCCATCAGGGCTTGGGCTTTTCTTTGTCAGTAGGTTTTTGATCACATTTTCAATCTCATTAATTGATATTGGATTGTTCAGGATTTTTATATCTTCTTGATTCAACCTTGGTAATTTGTACATATCTAGGAATCTGTCCATTTCTTCTGAGTTTTCTATCCTATGGGAGTAAAGATTTTCAAAGTAGGTATTAATGGTCTTCTGAATTTCTGTGGAATCTGTAATAATTTCATCCTTTTCATTCCTTATTGCATGAATCTGAGTTCTTTCCTTCCTCTTCTTGATAAGGTTGGCTAGGGGTTTATCAATATTATTTATTCTTTCAAAGAAGCAGCTCTTTGATTCATTTATTTTTTGGAGGGTTTTCTTTGTCTCAATTGCATTAATTTCTACCCGGATCTTTATAATCTCCCGTCTTTGGGCTTTGGGCTTGACTTGTTCTTCTTTTTCTAAAAGTTTGAGGTGCAGCATTAGACTATTTATTTGTTGTCTTTCTGTTTTCCTTATATGTGAGTTCATCACTGTTAATTTCCCTCTGAGGACTGCTTTCATTGCATCCCACAGATTCTGGTAAGTTATATTTATATTTTCATTTGTTTGTAGGTGTTTTTTATTTTCTTCTTTAATTTCTTCTGTGACCCAGTGGTTGTGCAGGAGGTTGTTGTTTAATTTCCAACTATTTATGGAGATTTTGGAGTTACTTTTGTTGTTAATTTCCAATTTCATTGCACTGTGGTCAGATAATATGCACATGATAATTTCAAATCTTTTTCATATTGGTACGTATGCTCTATGGGCTAGAATGTGGTCTGTTTTAGAGAAAGACCCATGTGCAGCTGAGAAAAATGTATATTCTGATGTTGTGGGGTGGAAGACTCTGTATACTTCTGCTAAGTCCATTTGTTTGCAGTTTTGGTTCAGATCTGTTATTTCTTTGCTGAGTTTTTGCCCAGTTGACCTATGTCTTTGTATCAAAGGGGTATTGAGGTCCCCTATTACAACAGTATTATTAATTATGTGGGTTTTCATGTCTGTTAAGATTTTTCTTATATAGTTTGGTGCTCTGATATTTGGTGCATACATGTTTGTGATTGCTATCTTATCCTCTTGCAGTTTTCCCCTAACAAGTATATAGTGACCTTCTTTATCTCTTTTGATTGTTCTTGGTTTGAAGTTTACATTGTCTGCAAACATAATAGCCACACCTGGTTTTTTCTGGGTTCCTGTTGCATGGAGGATTGTTTTCCATCCTTTGACTTTCAGTCTGTGGATTTCCTTTTGAGTAAAATGTGTTTCCTGTATACAGCATATTGTTGAATTTTGTTTCTTAATCCACTGTGCCAGTCTGTTTCTTTTGACTGGTGAATTGAGACCATTTACATTTATGGTTATAACTGATATGTGCTGACTTATCATTGTCATGTTATTTACTTGCTGTTTGTTTCCTACTTTTCCTATCTGTTTAATTGCTTGTTCTTCTTGACAGTTCCTTTCTGTTGTTGTTCTTGAAATTGTGGTTGTTTTTTTCTCTGTCTAGAATATCTTTTAGTACTCTTTGCAGAGATTGTTTGGCACTCATGAAGTTCCTCAGTTGTTCTTTGTCATGGAAATATTTTATTTCTCCATTGAATCTGAAGGAGAGTTTGGCAGGTTACATCAGGCTTGGTTGGAAGCTATTTTGTCTCAGGACCTGTAATACTTTGCTCCAAGCTCTTCTCCATTGGATGGTTTGTGTTGAGAAGTCTGCTGTGATTCTGATGGGCTTTCCTTTATAGGTAGTCTGTTTCTTTTCTCTAGCAGCTTTTAATATTCTGTTCTTTTGCTGAATTTCTGGGATCTTGACTATTATATATCTGGGTGTAGTTTTATTTTGGTTATGCTGTTTCATTGACTCATATGAGTTGTATATTATTCCTCTTTGCCTCATCTTGCAGCTGTTGAATTGATTTTT